GTGCTATTTATGATGAAAAAAAAAATCAGCCAGCAAAGCCAAAGCCACACTGAAGTTTATGAACTGAAGTCATTTTTTAAAGTGTCGTGACAATGTTCACAATGGTAAAGGGAGAAATGAAATGAGAAGTTTTAAGAAGTGCACACAGATTGAGGCAGACCACAATGGCCTTATCTGGGTTGACAAGTCTGGACTCCCCTGGCAATGCAAGCACTTTTGAAGGAACCCGAGTGGCAGAAGAACTTTAGGATCCAAATGGATGTTTCTGAAATATAAAACTAAAAGAAACACATACAATGTCTGATACATCCCCAAGAGCCACATGACGGTCAGAGAAGGGACAACCTGAGCACCAGGGGCCACACCTGTGATGACTAGGGCCGAGACAAAAAAGGCAGTAACAGAAGTGGAAAGCGGAGAGGGACACCAGGAAACCTTAACAGAGGAGGGACCTCTGAGACCTTCTGCTGGTGACTAAGCACTGACTAACGCTGGAGGAGTGCAGTAGGAGAGAAAAAGAAAAATAGAAAATGAGAGGGAGGAATATGAAATTATTTCCAGGGCAACAGTGAAAATGCTGACACCACTAATAGAAGCAGAGGTACCACGGAGATCTCTTGGTAAAAAGGAGCTCACATTTAGTCAGAATGAATTAAGATGGGCTCATCAAGGAGAAATGAGCCACAATCCACTGGAATATCACGACTGAGCTCTGCTTTTAGATCTGAGATGCAACCAGGGCAGCAGTTTTGTTTTAAAACTTTCCAGGTATTGCCATGTCAGGACTTCCAGAGGTTTAAAAGTAAATTCTCCTTCCATAAAATACTCATCCATCCCTTGTCCTGCAATACACAGTAACAATAAAAAAGAGCCATTTGTTTCTTTAAAAAAAAAAAAAAATTTTTTTTTTGTTGTAGATGGACACAATACCTTTATTTTGTTTTATTTATTTTTATGTGGTGCTGAGGATCAAACATTCAAGGCAAGCGCTCYACCACTGAGCCACAACCCCAGCCCAAATCCATTTGTTTCTAATGAGGAAAAAACCAAAAATTTGAATTTAGTGCTATATAGCACTATTTGTGTGTGTGTGTGTGTATAATGCACAACACCATTTATACATGTATGTATACATATATATATGTATACATACACACATATATTTAAAATGAGAACTTTATATACTACTTGGAGAATGAATATGTGTACATATGTAGATATGTATGTAAAATGAGACCCTTATGACATACTACTTTGAGAATACATAAGGAAATTGCTTTCTTTAAAACTTCATCATGTGGGGCTGGGCTTGTAGCTCAAGTGGAGTACTTGACTACCATGTGTGAGGCGCTGGGTTCAATCCTCAGCACCACATAAACAATGTCTACCTAACACTACAAAAAATAAATATTAAAAAAAAAATCATTATGTGGAGCCAGGCACAGTGGCACAAACCTGTAATCCCAACAACCTGGGAGCCTGAGGCAGGAGGATCAAAAGTTTGAGGCCAGTCTCGGCAACTTAGCACAGCCCTAAGCAACCTGAGGAAACCCTGTCTCAAAATAAAAAATTAAAAGGGTTGGAGAAAGAGCTCAGTGGCAAACCCTTCCTGGGCTCAATTGTCATTAAGGGGGGGAAAAAATCATTATTTGTGGAAAAAGTTGGGTGGTGGAGAGCAGTAAGCTGGAGATGTAGTGCAGTAGTAGAGATCTTGCCTAGCATTCATAGAACCCTGGGTTTGATCCCCAGCAGGCAGGGATTGGAGAGAGGTAGGAGGGTGTACACGACAGGATGCAGTATTTGAAGACATAAAGCAAGTGGGATTTGAATTACACAGGCTAACTTTTGCTCCTTCCTTATCCCTACCCCACACCAAGCTGCTCAAATAACTTAAGACTAAACTCTTGGCTGCTATTTCCCTGTCTATATGAACTAGTTCATGGCCTTTCCCCTACTTCCCCTGGTGGTTTGTACTGAAATAAGATATAAGTAAAAGTGCTTTGCAAATTGTAAAATAGATTTACCAATGTAAAATATCATTATAGTACTTTAAACCTAGTATTCAGCTTTTAATTTCTCCAATTATTCTGCACACACACACACACAAAAAAAAAAAAAACAGGATTGGACTGGGGTTGTGTACCTCAGTGGTAAAGTGCTCGCCTTGCACATGAGAGGCACTGGGTTCAATCCCCAGCACCACATAAAAATAAAATAAAGGTATCGTGTCCATCTACAACTAAAAAAATATTTAAAAAAAAAGAAAAACAGGATTACAGTTCTTGGCCTTAATCTGATCTTTCAATTTTATGTAAATATAACAACATTGTATCCATAAGTCAATTCGAACAAAAAGAAAACTATGCAATGCTAATATTTTATTGACCATGATTTTTAAAAACTATTTTTAGAAATTCCAACTTCAAACCTAATACTCATCTATGGAGCAATATTTTGAGTGGCAACCTTAACATTTCTGCTTAGTACTTCATTTTCCCTTCTCTTTAATAAACATCGGCCCACAACAACAATAATATGGAGATAATTCAATAATAATTTTTCTACTACTGTGTATCTTAGTTCATCTTTATCTTAGTTTAAAAAATAAGAAGAAATAAAAATAAGGTATAAAACAGTTCTATAGCTTGCATAAGATATTTGGACACTTTAAACGATAAGGGGCAGCAGTAAACTTCATAACTGTTGCTTGCTCACTAATTCTTCTTCCTGTGCAGGAAAGAAATTCCTTAAGTAGAAAACACCTTTTATTATGTGTTTTTCCCTCTTATTAGTTTATGATAACACCAAATAACAATAATAAATCCAACTAGCAATATAGTAAATGACATCCCATGTACCTTGGATTCAATGCTTATTAAATTTAAAAGTGTGTTTCTACAAAATTAAGCATAATTTTAAAATTAATCTGTGTTTAATCTGAAAAGATAAGTAGAAACCTTTGTTTATATATTTTATTTTTTAAAAAACTTCAAAGGGTTTCCATTTGCTTCATTTTTTAATTTAATTTTAATACTAGGGTTTCCTACTCTACTAGTAACAAAGTTGCTGATGAATACTTTAAAATATTACATGAACTTAAACCCTATTTCAATTTTAGGTTACCATTAAAGGCCAACAGGTGAGATTATATAAACATATGAGGTCATATAGATGTATGAAGTCCTAGTATATTCAATGATCATAATGACTGGCCAAAGATTAGCCACGTGCCTTGCAACAGCAAATATCATCAATAGTAAATATTACTGTGTTTTCCATAATAATAATACTTAAAAGTGTGTCATCTTGTCAAGTATCCCTACACTGAACTCAAGGAAATTGTTGCAGAATATCTGCAAAACACTCCATCAGTTTTGAAGTATTTAAATGCTTGCTTTTCACAAAAGACACATTATACATTTAATTATCAGAAATTCTAAACAAATTAAATCTAAAGGTGCATCCTTAGAAGCAACTGAAATGTATTATACTGTCAAAGGATATGTACTTTAAAATATCTGTGAACAAAAATTTTTAAATGGTAAAACTAGCTAAAATGATGAAATCAAGAAGTAGCACACTGGTAGAGTGTATTCTTAGCATATATGAGGCCCTTTCATCTAATCTCTGGTATTCCCTCCTCCCCTAAAAAACATTACATAGAATGTGAAGTTGTAAATGCTATCTGAAGTTATTATCATTTTTACCACTTTGGAAAAATCTGTGCTCAGGTCATACAAGAACCACTGTGACTGGAAATGACAAACAAATCTAAGTCTGCTACATGAAACAATGCCTAGTTTCCACTAACTGCATCCAATCTAAGTATTGTTGCAAAAGTTGTTATCAAAATGAATGATACTCAGTAACATTCAGAAAAAAAAATGACAAGAACAAATCCTAAAGAATATCCTAACAGTCATAGAAAAATATGTAGACCACCCTCAAATTAGGCATGAATGTATTGGGAAAATGGTCTTAAGTACTGACCATCCAAATTATCCTGTACCTTCCTCCTAACCTCCCAAAAAAAGGATACCTAACAGAGAAAACATAGAAACAAAAATATGTTAAAACTTCTAAAAACTTAGATCCAAATGTACAGTATCCCTCTTGAAAAGATTTAAACACCATAACTTATGCAGTGAACACTCTTAAGTTAAATCAGTATTTCTAAGGCTAAAATGGGAGTGGAGTGGGGGTGGGGTGGGGGTGAGAATGATGTCAGTGTTCAGTAGAGTCAGAGACAATCTGCAATCCAATAATGAACATATAACTGTTTCAAATCCTGAGGGTCTTTGCAAAGCGGAACGCTGCCAATTTGAAAACATAACTGAATTACAAAAATAATGCAGCATTCAAGTGACCTGCAGCAAGTGAAAACTCAGCAAACACTCTTGTTCTTTCTGAACAATGACCTAAATAGTGAATCACTATAAAAAGCGCAGATGACACATTCAATTCATCTGTTCAACTCAAATGCTCAAATGTCTGACAGTCCCAAAGATAAGACACAATGAATTTAATACAACAATATGGTCACTTTAGTCATCAGAATGTCTGGAAAAGGAGTGAGAAGAAACAGAATCAGACTAAGAGGCGGAAAGAGTGGGGGAGGGAGAAAAGAATGGGTGTTAAATCTGTGAAGCAGAAAAGGGCCAACTGGTACAGGAGAAAAAGAAGTTGGGAGATGAAATTAACCAAAACAGAAGCTGGGCGAAGTCCGGCAGGACCAGTCTTTGTTGATTTCCCACTTTTCCTAAATTTTAAGAACAGATCTGCTTCAAAGCTCTCTCTCCTTCTGCCCCCAACCAATTTTAAGAGATGGAACTGGGTGTCGATCGTTCTCCCACTCCGGATATAAGCCACCCCGGAGTTGGTGTGGTTGGAACACACAGACGCCAGGGTCCTCGGGGGAGATCAGCCCGGGGGTGGGGAAACGCAGGGTGGGTGCGCGGTGGGGGAGGGGGTGGGCTCGCGTTCCAAGTGCCGCCACTTACGAAGACGCGCTGGGCACGAAGAAATCTACCGCGAAGCCGAAGTAACTTCCCTCCGGGCCAGAGTACTCGGCGGGACTGTCCACATCTAGGTTGAAGGCGCCGCAGAGAGGCAGAAGGAGTCCGGAGACGAGAAGCAGGAGGCGGCCGGAGCGAAGGTGCAGCCGCCTTCGCACGGGAGAATCCATAGCCAAAGTGCACCCGGGACGCCGAGCCCGGAGCGGCGGCCGCCCCTCCCGGGGCGCACGGTGCCAGCGGCCCGCCGCCTGCGCGCGCCCAAACTTGTCGGCCGCTCTCTTCCCAGCTAGCCTGGGACAGCTCTGGGAGAGGCGGGGGGGGGCTGTTTCCAAGTGGCTGCCCTGGAAGTGGGGCGCAGGGTGCGCGAGGCGGGGGCGGCAGTGCGAGTGCCCCTCGCCTCCTGTGAGCTTGGCTCAACGCAGCGTCACCGGCTGGGGACTGCCAGGGTGAGCGCCGCACCTCGGGCCTGAGAGCTGCGGCGGGCAGTGGGAGGAGGCAGGGCAGGAGGAGGAGCCGGCTGGGGAGGCCGAGCAGCCCAGCCCCGGGAGGAAGTTGGAGGGGAAGAGTCGTTCTCCGACTGGAGAGAGCCAAAAGCACTTCCGTGCGCGCTGTCGCAGCCTGTCCCAAGAGCGGGGCTCCCGTGCCGTCTTAATCCCTTAGAGCCCGGGTTAGCGGCAGTACTCCTTGACGATGGCCTCAAACCGAGAACGCAGAGTTGAGGTCAAGTGATGGTCAAGTGTCCTCCCGCGTTCACAGGAGTGGCAAGGCACCCCACGTCCCCCGGTCGTGCCAGGAACTTTTAAGAATGCTGAAAGCTTTATCCGCTTCTCGTATTTCTACTACTTAGCCTGGCAGACTCTCACCAGCGAAACTATAATTATTTGTCGTTTTCCTCCCCATTCCATCCCACACACAAACACTGAACATAATTATAAAGTTCCAGAGTGCTAGCACAGCCTCTCACAAGCGAGGTGTGTTAAAACGGAATTGCAGTGGCTGACAAAAAGATTGGTGAGGCAGAGAATCGGTAGTAATCGTTTTAAAGCAAATCAAAATAGTCGAATTCCCGGTTTGTTAGTTGAAATTGTATAATTTCAGAAAACTGATTCAATGACTTTGGATAGACATACTTTGAGAGCTGGAGGAAGGAATATGCACCACAGAAACAAAGGCCCCTGGTAGTTCCCTTGCTGTTGGCAACACTGGACTGAGAGATTTCTGCAGGACAAAAACCCTGACATTTTTCTTTATACTCCCAGTTGCTACCACCTTGCCAAGCAAATAATAAACAATAAAATGGCGCATCAGTGAATGAATGGAAGATAAAATGATGAGTAAATTTTGCTCAGAGAAGTGACTTTCCCATGTTGTGCATCACTTGTTAAAGAATTTGATGAAAAGGATAAAATATAAATAGGTTATGTGGACCTGATTTTACAAGTACTGGAACAGTAATTTCAAAGTTTTCCCTAGTGACTATTAAAACTCAATCATGGATCAGGTGCAGGGGCATGCTGCGTCCCTGCAATCTCAGCACTTGGGAGGCTGAGATTGGAAGATCCCTTAAACTCAGGAGTTCAAAATCAGGCTGAACAGCACAAGGAGACCCTATGTGCGAAACAAATAAACAAAAATCCTCAATCTCAATCACAATATGCATTAAGCTAATAACCAGTACATAATATATATGTATCTCCCAATTTGAAGTTTAAACATTACATTAAGTATCTTCATTTTTAAATTTTACGAAAAGATATGCAGCAAAGTATTTGGTATCTTATACATCTTTCTCTTCATTGTTTCCTAATACATCCAAGAGTCCATGAATATGTACACCTAAACTCTGGGATCTTTTATACCTTAAAAATCTGAGAGGCTATCCACATGGAAGTCCATCCAGCTAGGGAAGGCAGAAGAGTTTAAAGTGAAGCTAGCTGGGACCCATGTGGCAGTGTGCCTGTAATCCCAGTAACTCAGGAGGCTGAAGAGGGAGGATTATAAATTCAAGGCAGGAGATTACAAATTCTCAGCAATTTAGCAAGATCCTATTTCAAAATAAAATATAAAAAGGGTTGGAAACTGGGTGTGATGGTGCATGCCTGTAATTCCAGCAGTTTGGAAGGCTGAGGCAGAAAGATTAAGAGTTCAAAGCCCAACCACAGCAATTTAGTGAGGTCCTAAGCAACTCAGCAAGACCCTGTCTCTAAATAAAATATAAAAAGGGCTGAGGATGTGGGTGTTAAGCACCCCAGGGTTCAATTCCTGGTATCAAAAGAGAAAGGGTTGGGAATGTAACTCAGTGGAAAAGTCCCCAGTAACACACATACACACACACACACCTGGCAAATTAGAATGTGGGTAGACTCAGTAAGCTTCCTTTTCCTCAATTTTTTTTTTTTTTTTTTTTGTACCAGGGCCTGAACTCTGGAGCACATTACCACTGAGCTGCATCCCCATCCCTTTTAACTTTTTATTTTGAGACAGGGTCTCACAAAAGTTGCTGAGGCTAACCTCAAACTTGTGATCCTCCTGCCTCGGCCTCCCAGTCACTGGGAGTACAGGGCACCACTGTGCCCAGCTCTCCTCTTCAACTCTTGATTCTAGGGTAGAAGTCCAACAAACTAGGAAAACATGAGGACCAGGGAAAGGGAGGAACAAGGGAATGGTGATACAATGTGCCCACCAAAACTTAAGGGAATAACACATCCTCAACTAGGCCTGCAAAATGCTACCAAAAGCAATTATTCTTTATGACTTTATTTCAAATTAAAGGCCTTGCAAGTCAAGCATTTTGTATTAGAAGAAGAAGAAGAGGAGGAGAAGGAGGAGGAGGAGGAGGAAACAACATGCATTTATATTAGGAGACAATGAAATAGACTAACCCTCATCAACGAACCTGGGGTTATAAAGGCAGGCATCTTTGTGTGACCATGCTTGAGCAGTCATCCACACAAGTGCCTTGCAAAATGTATTATAGAGCATATCAATTCAGCCAGCACTTATTCAAAGTCCACATTGTGCTGGGTACTTTGTGCATGAACAAGGAAAAAATATGTTTTGTTCTAAGGGGGGAAAAAGCAGTGCCCCACCTCCACCCATACAGCTCTACTCTAAAATACATACACTGCAACAAGTTTCCATCTTAAAAGGAGAAGTGCCTAGGATAGCTACATTAATACTGACTGCTCTTTTTACAGAGGAAATAAATATTTAGGTAATAAAAAAAATTTGGTTTTGAATGTTACCCTCTGCCTGTCTGTCCTTTAAAATTTTTGGTTTTGAATGTTACCCTCTACCTGTCCTTTAAAATCTGCTGTCCTTTAAAATCTTGTGTAAATTCAAGTGTCTAGGTTCAATGTTTGGCTTCACCAAGTTCTAGCTGTGTGACCCTAGGAAAATCAATCCAACCATTCCGTCCCTCAATTTTCTTATCTAAAATGGAAATAATAATTGTACCTATCTATTAGAATTGAGCAGTATTCATTGCCACTAATACTCAGTGCAGTAATAATAGTTAATCTGGATGATTGTTATTACACTGTATTAGTACTCCTACTATTTAGCCAATGCTTCCTTTAATGACCATAATCAAACTGAGGCTGCATTTGGCTTTCCTTTGTATACAAAGGAGCTCAGTTCAGTTATACCAAGATAATCTTAGAGAAATTTTAAACTTTTATTTCCTAAATAATAGCAAGGGAAATTGAGCTATAACGCACAGAAACATTTCTGAAATGCCTATCTACCACCCTGCATTTCAGCAGAACCTTTAATTCATGAACCCAGTCCTAGAGTTTGTATTGCTTTCTTTGTTGAACTCTCTCCTGCCTCTCCACTCCCAAATAGTTATTAGGAAATTGGAATGGCCTCTCTCTCTCTGCACCTCTAGCACCAGTGCTGCCTTTTCCTTACCTGGTATGTATCAGAAAACATCCCAACCAGTATCATGATCCTTAGATGAGTGGTAAACAAGAAAAGGCAAGCAGGAAACTTGTCTCCTTTCTGGACCTTTTTCCTAAACTACCCATCTGAGTACCTGTCCTTGATTCACTGCAATTCTCATGCCCTGGGTGAGCTTATTTATTACTGAGCTCTCAACTATCACTTCTTAACACTCTAGCTCACAAAAGAGCTTTAGCTGTATTAAAATACCTACCGTTTTTCCAGAGCACCATCTTTGTTCACAGAGCTCCATCTTCCTGGAAAACATTAGCCTCCCTCTTTAACCACTTCCTTCAGCCCCATCCTCCTGTCACATACAAACCTACACACTCTCCTCCACCTGGCTAGTTCCTGCTCTTCTTTCTAGACTCACATCAGACATCCTCATGTCCTCCAGAAAGGTTTCTCTGTGTTATCTTTCTATCCTTTGAGCTCCACCTGGGGCCTTAGGAATTACTTCCATTGTCCAGAGACTTAATAACTAACATTTCCATTTAACTGTTCACTTTATGTTGGGCATTGTGCTAAGCAATCTTTGTATATATTAAGGTACTTTTAGTCACAAGCCTTATCAGGTAAGTTCTATTAGTATTCTCAATTTAAAGATGAAAAAATTGATTACTTAAAAGATGAAATAATTTTCCAAAATCACAAAGCTAATGTGGCATAAATCTTCATAATATCAAAATATATAATGTAACAGTACGAGAATGAACAAAGAAAAAGAAGGACAATATATTTAAAGTAATCTGAGAATTTACTTAACAAAGTCTCCTTTCCCTAAATCTAACTGATTCCCCCCCCCCCCCACCAACAACAACTGAGGGTTAAACCCAGGGGTGCTTTGCCACTGTGCTATATTCCCTGCCCTTTTTATTTATTTTATTTTGAGATAGAGTCTTGTTAAGTTGCCCAGGCTGGCATTTAACTTGCCTCAGGCTCCTGGGTCACTGGAACTACAGGAGTTTACCACCTCACCCAACTTTATTTGAAATTTTTAATTTTTTTTTTTTTTTTTTTGTCTATAAGAGGTCTTAATGAACTGGGCACAGTGGCACATGCCTATAATCTCAACAGCTCAGAAGGCTGAGGAAGGAGGATTGTGAATTCAAAGCCTATCTCAAGAATTTATCAAGGTCTAAGCAACTTAGTGAGACCCTATCTTTAAATAAAATATAATGAAGGTCTTCAGGATATGGCTCATTGGTTGAGTGCTTCTGGGTTCAATCCCCAGTACAGGGGGAAAAAAGTCTTAATCAAATTTTGTCGTTGGTTGCATTCATCAAAATAAGTTCTAAGTGCCATGTTTGTCCAAGAAGTTATGAAAGTAGACCTGGATCAATGTTTTTATTTAAGACTAAAAATGATAGGTTTTTTGTTGTTGTTGTTTTGTTTTGGTTTGGTTTTGGTTTTTTGGTACTGGGGATTGAGCCCAGCGATGATTTAATCACTGATCCACATCCCCAGTCCTTTTTATCTTTTATTTTGAGATAGAGTCTTACTAAGTTACTTAGGGCTTCACTAAGTT